ACCTTGGCAACCTCGATCTCACTGCGACCTGCCAGAACAGTTCCGGCGGCACGGAGACCACGACCATTGGTCTCAACTCGTGCGTCGGCAACACCAACGGAGAACTGACCGCGTAAGTATTTTTCACCGACCTTTGATCCCGATTTACAGTTCTGTGTCTCCAGTGGAAACAGTTTCAGTGGATCGTGCGAAGATATCAGCTTCAGCGGAGTCGAGCTCAGTGCGCTCTGCCGCAACCCCGCCGGAACCCTCATCAGTACCAGCCTCGACTTGAGTGAGTATTTTCGATACTTCCGCCGCAGTAAATTGACTGATCCGCACCTCGCAGACGCCATTTTCAGTAACACCAACGGAGTCCTCACCTGTCCCTGAGCGAAGGCTTGTTGTGATGTCAAATAGCAGACAAATCAGTTTAGTACTTGGTTCTATCGTGTGCAAGGTTGAATATATGTGTTGTGTTCGAATTTGGCTGGAGTATGAACGCATGGCTGTTGCCGCTGTGGAGGTAATTTACCCGCGCTCAACAGCAATGTATATGGGCCACTAGAGCCAAAACACAGTGAAAATCCAACGGATGAGGATTGATTTTCGCCGCAACCCGAACCCCTGGGAATGGCAGGCCACCGATCTAACGTGTAGGGTTCGCAGCTTTCAGTTCCCACGCTGCCTGGAAAAATTCCAGCGATGATAATTTCCATGAGCTTAAAATAGCTAATGGAAGAATAAGTCGGCTCCAATTTCTGCCTCTACAGCCTTCGAGGATCAGTGGCCATCATCCCGGCCCATTACACTTGATTCCATACACGGGCGTTCGGCTCCCCCTGGAGGCATGCGAACCTAAAAACCCTTTTTTAATGAACTCTGAAGCGTGCTACGACCACGAAGTAGGTAATTCACAACAGAGGATCAAGATTTTAATCCTCGCCACATGTAGGTATAGAAATACTAGGCGAGACAGACTGTTGGTATACAGGCACCAATGGAAGCGTTGGGCACTCTTCCAGTCCTGTGAATCACTCGAATAAAGGTAGGTCCAATTCCTAGGTAAACAGCCTTCGAAGATCAGTGGCGATCGTCCGGGCCCCATCACAGTGGTATAACATGTGCTAGGGAAAGCAGGGATTCGACTCCCCCCGAAAGCATCTCTAGATACTGTATTTTTTCGTTCAATTCGGCAGGGGGTGTGATGCGTGACAACTTGAACCATCGACACAGGTCGATTTAGACCGTGACAAGGACCAAAATTTCGACACCGTCCCAGAAGGATGCAGGAATGTTCAAAACTCTGGCACCTTTGCAAGAGCATACAGAGCTGGACAGATGCCAATTTAAATTATTTAGCTGCAAATGCTTATACCAACTAGTTTGGGTTGAGTTTGGGCTGAGATGAGGGTAGAAATTCAGTAAGGGCATTGAATATTACCTCTCAGGATGCAGGAGATGCCCCAGAATTTTCCCTGGTCGTTTTTAACATCAAGAAAGATATTCCCCCATTTTTCGAACCATAGAACCAATTTGACAACCGCCTCTTTGACGCATGACAACGAACCAAAATTCGGCTTCGACAGGACCTGTGACGCGTGAACGCCGAATTTAATGAAAAAATACAGTATAAGTTTTTACCCTCCCATGAAAGGCTCTACGCTCATCGGTACCCACTCCTTTTCGACACAACAAAATGAATGCAGCATAATGGATTATGGGAACGAGCCTGAGAACCAAGATTACTTAAAGGCGAGGCCATGAAGGTTTGCGCTGGCTCAGAAGCATCGAGGAGGGTTTCCACTGTAAGCACAGGAGGAGCACCTGAATATCTGGAGTCGAATTTTGACAATGGTGAAGACCCAGAAGCATAGAGAAGCTATTGCCTCTCTACTGCTCTCGACCCACCTACTAACCATTGAAGTCTTGCGTTACGTCGACCATGCGTACCAACCAGTGCCCCGATCGGATCGGTTGTGCAGATTTTGTAAAAAGGAGGTCGAGACGCCCGAGCATGCGCTAATCAGTTGTGAATCATCCGACACACTGATACAGCTACGCGCAGTGTTCTTTGCGAAACTGTTCTTTGACTTACCTGATCTGCATCACCGGATGGCGGAACTTTCCAACACGGGATTCCTTAAAGCCATCATTTATCCTAGATCAACAATTGCACTCGTTGATAAGCATGCATTTGATGTCCTAGAAGTGTTCTACGCCGTGCCAGTGTATCGTAAGAGTGATTGAGGCTAACCGAGTTAGAGTGCTGATCTTATTTTAAAGTTTCTCAGCGTTCTTCTAGTTCTACCGCGGCGAGTTGTAAGTTTCGGCCGAAAGCTGCGACCGTGAGTTCGGCTGGAGGAGTTCTGAGAGGCCTAGGGACGAATGTGTATATAGTGCCTGTACACCAGGATAATTCCCGGAAACCGGCGTTCATGAGTTGGACCGTGCCGTGTCATGCTACCTACTTACCTACCTAGTTGAACAGCCTCCGAAGATCAGCGGTGATCGTCCCGCCCATTAGGGGAAGTAGGTGAAAATACGCGGGAAAGCGGGGGTTCGACTCTCCCCGAAGGCATAGAGTTACGGTAGCCAAGGATTTTTGGTCCTCCCGGCCAATGAATGAATGCGGAGCGGGAGAATCAAAATTGCAGTCAATGGATCGTCCGAGGAGTTGAGGTTTCCTTAGTAAACACGAAGAATTATTGCAGAGGAAAATTCGGCGACCACCACCTTCTGATCCAGCGAAGTCGGGAAGACCAAGATGGGCTGGATGCAATCTCACAAGCAAAGCCACGACAGTCAGCGCCCGCGTCGATTGTGGGTTTTTGATTTCGAGCTCCAAGGAAATGCATGCAACGCATGTCGGTTAGGCTGCGATCTGGGATATACCAACTATCACAGTTTGCTCTTGCTAAGCGCCACGAACCGCCCCGGGCGCCGCTCCTTGAATGCGCGCAGGCTCTCGGGGATGTCCTGTGCACGTGGGGTTAGCTTATAAGCTTGGGTACGGATAGGGAAGGATTGAAAATGGGGGACGATGGGGGAAGAGAGAAACACGAAGATGAAGAGGTTTAGGTGGGGACGAGGACCACGGGAGACGGAAGGTAAATATGGGTGGGGTGCGGAGGGCAACGGCGATGCGCCCGTGTGGATTATGGGACGATGACTGGAAGATCTACGATGGAGGATGAACAATGGACGAGTGGAAGGAATGAAGATGGCGACAATGAAAGGAAGGATAGAGACACCCTCCGAAGATATGCGCACCTCCGTTTGCAGTGCGGCGGCGTTCCAGACGGCGGTATAGTCTAGATTTTCTGGTACGCTGGCAGGAGAGTGGTTAGCGAGGATACATAATGGCGAGAGGAGATCATGCGCGAAGCAATTGGAATGACGGGAAGAGAAGAAATTGGAAGCGAGTGAAAGCAAACGCTGCTCGGATGGAGAAAGGGAGAGCGAGCGAATGGACGTAATTGAGGTGGAGAAAGCGGGTAGGCTGCATTCGTCTTCCACGTTATGAGACCATGAAGCGGCTCGAGCACTTGCGCCTCGAATGAACGAAGTCGTGCCTCGAACCAAGCAAGCTCCAGACGCATTCGCACAGCAAGAGAACGAAGAAAACGCACCTATGATCCCTCGCATGCACCAAGATGCGCTTTGTCCCCATCACGGCGATGGGGCTCTTCCCCGCGATCACGGCGGCCAATTCCAACGCCGCCTTGACAACTTCCTTCTGGCCGCTCTCACCGCTGGAGTGTGGCACGACACGCGACACCAGTCCCAAATGCTCTGCGTCCTTGGCAGAGAAGATTGCGGCAGAGTACGCGAGCTCGCGCATGAGGGAGTGGTTTGCGGTGATTTTGGGGAGGTAGGCGAGGGTGCCGATGTCCGCTGCGAGGCCGATGTTGACTTCCTGGCATATGTCACAAATAAATCAAAGGAGGGCGATACCGAATGGAAAAGGGGGTGAACGCACCATAATACTGAACCGCGCATCCTCGGCGGCGTACCTCACATCGCACGCAGAGATGATATCGACACCGAGGCCGAGGACGAGCCCGTGCACGGCGACGATGACAGGGAAGGGGCAGCGCTCGGGCGCGCCGATTGCGTGCTGGAACTCTTTGACGTCTCGCAAAAGCGAGAGCGACTTGCGCGCGCCGTCGGCGACGAAAGAGCCTGTGAGGCCGCCTGTGGTTATTCCTGCTGCGTCCGCGACTTTATGGACACGATAAAGTCAGCGCGGGGCACATAAATAGATCGTAGATGGCGAATATACGTACGATCTATCCCCGCGGTGAATAGTTTGGGTATGGCGGAGGAGAGGACGGCCGCGCGGACGTCCCGCCCCTCGTTCGTTATCCTATCAAACAAATCCCGATACGCGCGCCAAAATCTATGTTTCACTCAGTTTCCCGGTCGAAAATACGTGGCAAAGACACCGCTCACTCGATTGAGAATGCATTCACTGGTTTCCTGCATGGAGCACGTCAGAGAACGGACGGGGAGGGAAGAGGGAGTAGAGAGGTGTACCGTGCGAGTTCAATGTGGAGGACATGCGGCCTGGGCTCGGAGACAAGGAGCCATTTGGAAGAGAGGTCCGCTGCGAGGGACATGATGGTAGGAGACAACTTGAGTTGCCGGCCCTTTGCCGAAGCAACATGGATCAACAGCTTTCACGTGCGAGTTTTCGGGCCGTCGGCGCTATCGGACCAGTTGGCCGCTTGCCCTCAAACGGTGTTGTGAATTGTGAAATGCCACCAGTGGTATCAACATCTGGGGCGCATGACAAATCACGGTAAAGCGGAGTTTTTTGAAGATCCGAATTATTGCAGGCCTGAGTGGGAAAATACTAGGCACTAGTTGGAATCATCGATGACGGTAAGCGATGGCAACGGAATCATTCGACCATTGGAGGTGGAAACAAAAATTAGAGAAGAGCCGGTAGTGATAAAGAACTGACGCCTCAGGCAAGGGATGTGCAACTGGACAATACTAAGGCGCTTCAAAAGGTATGGCCATCGTGGGGGTCGAACCCAAGACCTTCGCGTAATAATGGGGAGATTGACAATATATTAGCACGACGCTCTAACCAACTGAGCTAGACGGCCATAATGGACTGTGGTAGGTAGTCAGTTATGTAGGTATACTATTATCCTAGGCCTCCATACACCCCTGATGGACACCATCTCTCGTAGAAGTAAAAGAATGTAAGAAAGTAAATTAGTGCAGCAACACGGGACATAAATTAAATCCAGCATCACGATACAAGGGATGGTATAAAATATTTCCAGGACAACAGCCGGAAAATACTGGGAGGAGACGCCACCCAGGAATGCAACTCGTCTAAGGGATCATGAAAAGAATAAATATTTGTGAGGCTGAAATACACGTCGTGAAGTTGCTGTGAACCAGTGACTCGGCGTCATTGAAGGTTTTCTTTTCAAAGTGCCGACGAGTAAAGCAGTAGCCAATGTAAGTCAGACAGTCTAAGGAGTACCATAATTAGTCGGATGGAATCACTGAAATGAATGAAAAGGCTGACTCAGGGAGAAAGTTCAGATATATCTCAACGACTCGGAGATCCTCGCCAACACCTGAATTTGATGAATAAAATGAAATAAAATGAGCTTAACTCAAGTCCTGGGCGGTTCGACCGCATGGCGGACTTAAGTTGTGCGGAACTTAAGTTCTACAATAACTTATCCCCGTAGCATCTGTGGGAGCACATATATTACTTAGGCCTTAAGTTCAGCCAAAACTCAAGTTTCGTCTAAAACTTAAGTTCCAACTGAAGTGTCATCGACGGCAACTTAAGTGCCGCCGTATACCGCCCGCGCTGTACTAAAAATCCGTGTATGCTAAACCCGAATTCGGAGTCAGTAAAAATGAGTCTGTGCGTGACTTGGCCCAGAGGTAACGATCCGCGGGGACGCGGTGCTCTTGTGCGGTGTCTGTGCATGTGCAGAGGAAGAGGGAGGGGAAAATGGGGTGTGGGGGGTGGGGGGGTGGTGCAGGAAATGATATGCGACAAAGGGATACACACCTGGGTGTTTCATTGACGATGTGCGTGCGAGGGCCGAGGGAGCTGAGGAGCAAGTCAGGTGAAAGGAAGGAGTTTGAGGAAAGACAAGTCATCACACCTGTGTTGCTCTTTTCCATCTTTCCCCCTCTCCTTCCTCCTGTCATCTTGTTTGGCGGCGGGTGGCATTGTGTTTGTCGGCGAGTAGCATTTTTAGTCTCACAATCTGCGGCAAGAAAGATGTTGTGGCTGAGGTAGCTAGGAGCGGCGCCTGGTACTGGGCCCCGGCTTCCCAGGCAGTTGGTTGGTTGGTGGTGGGCGTGGCATGGTGGTCAGGAAAGAGAGAAGCTTAAGGGAACAAGTAACGCGTGACATTACGAATCACAAGGGTGGCATTGATTGCCAAACACCGCATGACACATCACTTCGACTTAGCTCTGACTTCGATGAGCTCTTCTCAACATTCACCCTCGCATAAAGTTCCAGACTTCGTTCATATCACCCTGTGCAAGCTCAAGCGTGGTTGCAGTGTCCGCTGAAGTTAACAATGTTCCGGCGGCATTCTGGTATGCCACCCTTGTGCCACCCTGTTCATAAAACATTGCATAGTGTCGAGAACTCACTATGCGACCCGATAGGTCTCCAGTATTGTTTATCCTTGCAAGGGGTGTGTTTCTGGGTTGTGTCATTTTCCCTCAATATTAATATCACTTTGCCAATTCATACCACATTCCAGAACTCAAGTTCACGCAGGAACTCAAGTTTTACAGGAACTCAAGATGTACAGGAACTTGAGTTCAGACACTGAAAACTTAAGTTCCAATGGATATATGGTTACAGTACACCTATGGTATAGCTCTACGGTATATTAGCAGGACTTGAGTTCTATGGAAACTTAAGTCCTCCATGCGGTCGAACCGCCTAGGACTTAAGTGGAGCTAATAAAGTATTTGGAATAAATGATCAATGAACCCGTCATTTTGTCTTCGTTGCCTGGTCAAGTAATTCAATCAATGCAGTTTCTTCAGCTCATGATACAAGATATTTATCCAGGTCAATTGAAATCTGAATTGTCGGTTCCCGCCAGGATGCCCAGAATGCTCAGGCTTGGGCCATGTGAAGAGCGCCAGGCTCGTGTCTGCAGGCACAATTGTGATTCCTTTACTATAGATCGGACTGGCGGAGTCGGAGGTACGCAGATATCGGCTTTCGCTTTGTTTTGAGTGTTTGCCGTCTAGCACCGCTTGGTATGGTTAAATCACCGTAATCGCAGAAGTATGGTCCTCATTCTCAACTCGGCTGTGTAACCAAATCCAATATATATATATATAGCATATTCAACTTGGCATACACGGAACCTCATCAGTACTACATTGATTTCTCTGCCAGTGCACAACCAACCTGCGCTCAAGAACAGGTGAGTACTCCGTTTTCGTCCCTCAAAATTGTGCCTACGCGGAGGGACAGTTGCTGCCTGCATGGACATCTTATGTGTTGAAAATGCTCACCCAAATTGAAGCTGCTACTGACGCGATTTCCGGCGTCATCAAGGCAGGCCGAACTGAGCGTGATTCCGCTGAATCCGATGTTCTCGCAAGAAGAACTGAAGTTGTTGCCGCTGCAAACGACAGAAAACAGAGAAACATAAGCGACTCATGAGTTAACGTCAGCGAGGCATACTTACGCGGTCAATTCTCCGTTGGTGTTGCCGACGCACGAGTTGAGATTAATACTCGACGTCATCGGGGCGCCGGAATTGGTGGGACACGTCCCGGTGAGCTCGAGGGTGGCCAGGTTGATGCTAATGTTTTCGCAGCTCGGGATCAAGTTGGTGTCGGTAACGAGCCCATTGGAGCGCGCGGCAAAGGTCCCTGGGATAGCCGCCAGGGCACAGGGCGCGAGGACAACGGAGGATAGAAGCCTTCTGTTCATCTTCAGGACTGATAAAGTGTCCGTTTTTGGAGCCCTTGGAGGTCGAAAATCTAAATTCGTCCGCCAGACCGGTGAAAACATATCGCCTGGGTGGACTTCATCCAAATCGGGGGCGTTTATGGAGTTTTGCCAGTCCGCTGCGCTAACAAGTTCATTATTGCAGATGAGTCTCGGTGTACAGACTTTTCGTGGAAGTTGTGTGGCATCTGGTAAGACATGAAGGAGAAGCTTTGAGTCAAGATTCATTAGGTAGGTAGGTAGGTAGGTAGCTCCTTTTTGCTGGCGCAGGGCCATTTGGCCGGCGTGAGTCCTTTTCGCTGGCTCCTGTCTCTCCCGATCACGCGTAGCGGATTTGATTATTATTCTTCGACTACCAATTCCTTGTCTGTGTTATGTTACCGTCTCACGGGGCGGATGCCTCTTCCCTCCGCGGGCCCGCTTCCCGGAGCTTTCCATTCGCCGATGCACTGTGTGCACTGTGGTGCCTGAGCGGCGCGGCAGCAATGGGGTTCAAAAACAATGTATGATAGCCGAATGGCCGCAAGTCTTGAGGGACTCAACTCTCAGCATAACTATTAACACTGGCATGCTTAGAGCCGAGCGATACCTAGGATTCGGAACCAACGTCTTAGTATTCCTTCGTGGATGAATTTGTAGCATAATTTCGCCCTGCATTCCTTTCTACCGCATCGCTCATCCATGGTCGCTCCGCCGCACTTTCTCCCTCACCGGAAACTCATTTCCACCGCGGAGCTTCTCCCTCATTTGTGGCAGACAGTCTATATGGGGGTAATACTGTCTCATAATTATACCAGTTTTGAGCAAAAAAACACATTGCTGCTCAGAAAAACACATAGGTACCCTCACCCCAAAAAACACACCACTTTTGTGGAAATCCAAATATACACAGGTCCACGTTTCTCACAAAAAAACACACACCCCGTGGCGCATAGTTAGATACACCGGTGCACCTCACTCCTGTTTTTCAACACACCCTCTTTGGAGACTCAAATAATTCATCACCTTCCTGCAGAGACAAAAGAAACGCTGCCTACCTTGCAGCCAGAAATGCATCACTGGTCATCTGTGTACCAATTCAACATGCACCATCCTAGAGGATATACTGATGCTGCAGCCACCATCTTTCTTGGAAGGTTTTAAAAGCATCTCATCGTGGATCCCTACCGGCTCTCTGCCTTTTCTATTGCTACAGCACCAGCTATTTGAGATTCATATCCGGGACTGGACCCGATGTCTCCTGGTTAATCACAACTTGTTACATTCATTATCATGCTCAAGTCTGAACGAGATCCACCTATTTATTCTGAAAGTCCAGTTCAACTATTCATTTGCCTGAATGACTGATGTTGAATAATTTTCATTGTATCTTCACTTCAACTTGAAACTTTGATAGCAAAGTTTCAACACTATCAGTCTACTTAATATATATTCCAATATAACGGCGAATCTGACTGACTACTATTACAGAGACTACATAGTTGAGCGCCGCGCGCTCAATGTTCAAATTCATGGTGACATGAACTGGGTGCACTTCAATTTCTTTGGCTGTATTTCATTCATCTTTGTATTAGATCCTCGCAATTCAGGATGTTTTGCATGCAACTTGAGTCTATTGGGTTCCTTTTCAGCCGCCCTGAACTTGGGGACCTAGAGGTATCTTGTTAGGTAATTACACCGCTTAGTTCAACACTCCCTGATTTCTTCGTAGATCCCTCCACTACTCAAAGCCTGAAACTGAAACTGTTGAGTTGTGTGTTTCAATCAGAAAACTCGCCAAGTACATCCAGTGGTTGAAGGGAATTTGTACATTGTGTCAGTATACATACCGCCTCGAGTGAACTGTCCATCATGGTACCTTGCAAACTCCACTCGAGGGCCATTGAAGTGATTCTTGCCTTCCTAGTGGCTGTCCTCCGGCCTAAGGACCAAATCCGCTAGGTGGTGTTTTTTTTTTGTGGTCGGTGCTTGGAACCTGGGAATTATTTTACGGCATAGTAGCCGTGAAGAAAAAAGGGTTTCGAGGGTGTGAGTTTAATTTTGTTCCGATTAGGGTGGTGAAATTTATTAATTTTGGACGTGTGCACTTTTCTCAATCGTTATAGGCGGTGCGTTTTTTTGATTTGGGAGGACCAGGGT